CAATGACATGAGACAAAGTATATGTGAACTGCTGTATGAAAAGTGAATTTACTCTGTAAATCTTCACCCAAATCCTAAAAAAAAAAGTATCAGGTGGTTCTAGTTGATGACCATGTTCTCAAATTCTCTTCTGGTTATGCCGGTCATTAGTTTGTGTGTGTGTTTGTAGATTTTACCACCACCACGTAACAACAACAACTGTCTTCCTAAGAAGCTCTGGTGGCGCAGTGCCTGAGACATTTGACTGCTAACTATAAGGTTGACAGTTCAAACCCATCAGCCACTACATGGAAGGAAGGTGGGGCAATCTACTTCCATAAAGATTTACCGCTTTAGAAACCCAGTGAGGGTCACTGAGTCGAAATCTACTCAATGGCAGTGGGTTTACTCTATTTGTAGCACCTAAAACAGTGCTCTGCATGTGGGTGAATTTATTTTGAGTGAGTTCAGAGGACACAGTTCTTACTTAACTTCACAGAAACAATAGTGATTTTGATACCTTCATCTTAGCAGCCTTCTCCAGCTGTGCTAACCGCTCTACGGCTTTCTCCTCAGCTCGTGGTCAAGGTGCACATGAATGATAACAGCACAAAGTCATTGATGGTGGATGAGAGGCAGCTGGCCCGAGATGTTTTAGACAACCTTTTTGAGAAAACTCATTGTGACTGCAATGTAGACTGGTGTCTTTATGAAATATACCCTGAACTACAAATTGGTAAGTCCATCCCCTGACAGAGGCTGTTCGTCAAAAACTTTACTTTGTTTACATTGGGTACTTTGTTATGGGCTTTGGTTTATTTGTAAGAAGAGTTTGTTCAAGGATATAAAAGCAAACCAAACTCACTGCCATCAAGTCAATTCTGACTCATAACAACCCCGTTTTCAGTTTCCAAGTTAGTAAATCTTTATGAAAGTAAATTGCCCAGTCTTCCTTCCATGGAGTGGCTGATGGATTTGAACTGCCAACTTTCTGGTTAGTAGTCAAATGCCTTAGGGATTACACCACCAGAACTTCTTTCAAGGATATGAACACATTGCAAATATCACTTCTCTTAGGCTAGATCAAGCGTGTGCCTCTTCATCTGTTTGTGGTGAAAAGACTCAGATTATAGCAGGTGGCCAGAACTTGGCAGATGTAAACAATATTGACACTTCTCTAGTGGTTCCTAGGGAAAGACAGTGGTGACAGGATGATACTTCTTACTGCATGCTTATTAAGCTGAGCACATTGTGGTAGGACCTGGATATCTGTCAGCTAATGTCACTCTAGAGTTAGCTGCTTTCAGCTATAGTATGGCTCTGCCACAGGCTCGTATCAATAGTCATTCCTCCTACCCTTTCACTTGTTCTGTGACACTTTGACTAGTTGGGGAGGTTCCACCCCAGAGAACAAAGAACAATTGGTAGAAATTTATGTAGTTTAAAACAAAAAATGACAAAACTTAAGTTATTAGTGGTTACTAGGGAGCTCTGGTGGCATAGTACCTAAGGCATTTGACTGCTAGACAGAAGGCTGGCGAGACAAACCCACCAGCCACTCCTCGGAAGGAAGGTTGGGCAATCTATTTCCGTAGTGATACCACCTCGGAAACCCAAGGAGGGGTCATTATGAGTTGGATATGACTCGATGGCAGTGGGTAGGAGCAGGAGGAAGGGGAGAAAAAAGGAGAAATTGTTTAGGAAACATTGGGTTTCTGTTTATGGTGGTGGGAATTTGGCAATGAATATGGTGATGGCTGCACAACATGATTAATATAATTGATGTCACTAAGTTGTACATGTGAAAAATGTTAAATTGACAAATGTTATGTTACATATTTTTACCAAAAAAACTTAAAGAAATACTCTGTTACTTCTCATTATTAATGTCACTCTAAGGACAGTTGTCTGCAGGAGAGCTTAATGGAACATAGCATTATTTGCATTAGAAGCTTTAGATAAAATCTTTTTTTCTGGAGAAATGGTCTATACTAAAACAACCCCTTAATGTTTTCTTCAACTCTCAGTCAAGTAGAGAAATGAGAGCCTTCCTGTATGCTTTAACTCTGGTTCTATCCATAAGCTGTTTATAGAGTTTTAGGAGTGATGTTTTAGAGCATTCATGTATCACACAATTTCATTGAAAGTTGTTTAACCACTCTCTGCCTCAATAGTCCTCTGTGGTAGTTCAGTTTGTGTGTCAACTTGGCCGGGCCTGGATGAGTGGCTGGGCAGCTGGATGTAGCATTCCCCATGATGAGACTGGTAATTAACTCCATGGTGGAATCTACTGTGAGCAGCTGAGTAGCTGCCTTAGGGAATGTGGTCTGCTTCCTGTATTTAAGCAGAAGCCTTGGGAAATGGTCTCTAGCTTATGGGACACTTGGATCCTGCATGTAGCCATGTCATTATTCAGCAGCCTACCATGCTCTGTCAACCTTGGGACTTACAATGGACTTAAATTAATGGCCTGCCGTGTGGTTTGGTAATATCGAGACTGTGTCTTTTTACTTGTCAACCTTGGGGCTTCTCAGCCTCAGAAGCTGTCTGAGTGAAGAAACTCCTCTAGCTCCAGTGGGCCAGGAGCAGGAGGCAATTGGACCCCAAGGTTGAGGGGCTTTCACCCAGCCCCTAGAGCCTGGCACTTTGAACTTGGACTTAAAGCCTCCAAAGCCGAAGAGACTAAACTCCTGTTTGTTAAGGCCTTGCCATTTGTGGTATATATTCCTGTCAGAGCAGCTCTAGGTAACCAGAACATCCTCCTTACAGATAGGGGTGTTTGCCTCTGCCTGGGGTTCTTTAAACTAAAAAATGCTACTATGAAAAAATAGAAATGCTTGACTATTGTCACTATATTGTAGATTATTCCTCCATGTTTTTGATGAAAATAAGTTAAAGTCCTGGCACTGAAGAATAAACATAATGTTGTTGTTGTTGTTATGTGCCATCAAGTTAAACCCGACTCATAGCGACCCCTCCTTGGGTTTCCGAGGCAGTATCACTACGGAAGTAGATTGCCCCATCTTCCTTCCGAGGAGTGGCTGGTGGATT